TTATTATTATTATTATTATTATTATTATTATTATTATCATTATTATCACTATCACTATTGCTGTTATCATTGTTATCGTCATCACAGTGCAGTTTGTTATTGTTCTACTGAATTTGTAGATTGTAATCATGTCGGCTACTTTGGAAATTGAGCTGTTTTCTGAATATTTTGACAATGCACCTGTGTTTATGGTTAAAGGACGTACACATCCTATTGAGGTCACAAATTTTGTGTTTTATCTTTTTCGAATTTTATTTCGATTATAAATTCTTTTAGTGTGTAAATTCGTAAGCATTTCGCTGTACTGTATCTGATTCACAGGTAGCGCTATTGTAATGAATAATTTTTAGTTGTTTTATGCGAATTCATTGGACAGTGCAAGTGATGATTACGTTTTTAATGCGGTTGTTACATTGATGCAGATTCATCGCACCGAACCCATTGAGTGAGCTTTGATTCATTCACTCGTTCTTTTATTTACTGTAGCTTGTCCTTTTCTTATTAGTCACTCATTTATATACCTATTAATTACAGTTGGGATGTGTTGGTATTTCTGACAGGTCAAGAAGAGATCGAATTCGCGTGTAAAAAGGCGACTGAAGCAGCGCAGTTAACGGGTCGCGCATTGAAAGCGTTACCTCTCTATTCGGGGTTATCTCCGTATGCACAAATGAGGGTGTTCGAACCACTCGGAATACCGGTTCGTTGACTTTATTCGACTTTCATTTATTCATATTTGAAGTGTCCATTGAAATTGTGACTATTGTGCAGTGTACAAATAACTGTTCGCAGTAATGTTGTTGTGCTTTTGTTGGTCCTTTCTACAGTCAACGTTATTATTATTATTATTATCACAATTCGATTGTCTTTGCTGAGTATGGTGCAGTCAATCGTTGCTACGCTTTTATATCACCGTCATGAGAATTACCATTTGAGCTGTAGTCAACACTAATCTCTCGTGCCATCATTTATTGAATATTCACAATATTGAAATCAACAACGTGAAAATTTTGAAGCTCTTTATCCATTGCCAGTTTTATCAGCCATTATGAGGAATCGTGAATTTTGCACAGAACCAAAAGGATTCGCAATGAAGAAGTGAATGATTGAAATTTCAGAATACTCGAAAGGTGATATTTTCAACAAATATCGCCGAAACATCCGTCACAATACCCGGTATTCGCGTTGTCATTGATACGGGTAAAATTAAAATTAAGTGAGTAACCGAATTATCGTCATATGCTTTTGACTCTTTCAACAATATTACTGTTTGTAAATGACGATATGTTTTCTGCTCAGTTGATCAATTAAGTTGACGTGAATAATTGTAGAACATTTCTGGCAGATCGTCGCATAGATGTGTTGAGAGTGGAGGATACATCACGTGCATCTGCAACGCAACGTGCCGGTCGTGCGGGTCGTGAAGCACCTGGAAAGTGCTACAGACTCTATCCAGAAAAACACTTCGCCAGTTTGCATCAAACGACCATTCCCGAAGTATTGAGAACTAATCTTTGCACGGTGTGTTTTATTGTCATCTTGTGATCGTGGTATTTATCATCATTATTGTTTAATATTTCTATCGAACTCAATCCACACGTCACGCTTTCATTAGTGCTTTAAAGCGATAATTCGATAAGGTAAGGATAAGAATTAAAGGTGCTCCTTGAATTGTATCGAATTGGATTAACGCGTCTTCGTTCGTTGCAATTGATCTCATCGCCGTCATCTGAATCAATTAGATCTGCACAGTTATTGTTACAATTAATCGGTGCTGTTCAACCAGCTGACAAAAAGGATCGCATTCATTTGACCGATATGGGCACCAGAATTGCTGCATTCCCTCTTGATCCACCCTTAGCCAGGTTCATATTTTTCGTATCATTTAATCGTTTCAGCACGCACTTTTTTGCATTTGCACAAGAGAACGGCAGTAATGATAATTTAGTAATAATGATAGTAATAATAACACTAATAATAAGTAATAATGATTCTTATAGAGTTTTGTTGGCAGCATCTCAAAACGGATGTCTGGAAGAAGCACTGACCATCGTGTCGTTTATGTCAACAGATCAAGTGTTCATGACTTCGTCACAAAATCGTGATCTCTTTAATGATTCGAAGAGGAAATTTGAGGCTGCAGAGGGAGATCACTGCACGTGGTTGAAT